AATTTCAAAAATATGTAACTCAAGTTTGGTAGATCCAAATATTATGGTTCTAATTTTGTTGAGTTCCTGGTCATGTCTAGTATTTAACAAAAATATTATATGAGCACATGTTTTAGAAATTTTTGATGAATTAAATAGGACTTTGAAATGTGTTTTTAGATGCATGCAAACTTGTTTGAATTTTATCTTGAGTTTCTGTGGTCGAAAAATTATGAAATTTTGTGGGTAGTCTATTATTGCTTATTAGAAGCTCTGGTTAAAATTTCAGAGCTAGTGCATGTGTAGTTTTAAGTTATAGAATTTCCTTTTATTAATGGGTGGATCTTGTGTGAATTTTCATAATTTTTCTATAGATCCAGTGGAGGTAAAATTTGATGAGTGCTATTCTTATGCTAGAATGATGCTAGGAAAAATGGCAAATCTATTGCTTGACACTTTTTAATAAGGTTTCCTAATTATGCTAGAAATAGACATGTCATCTGTTATTTTAGATACAACAAGTTTTACTTGCCCAATGGCTTTGAAATTTTTATGGTAGTCTATGTGAAGCATGAGATAGCTACTGTAATTTTTGTAGATTTTTATGAACAGTTTTACTATATGTTGCTTTAATCACCTAATTAACTAAATAAATTAGAAAAGGATATTAAATGATTTATTTAGAAGTTGGCATTATACTTTCTAGTGTTCCTCTGGTATGTGTAACAAGTTGGTAAACTTGGTTTGGTTAAATTAGGCTTTTGCATCATCATTAAATAATTAAGTTAGCAACCCTGTCATTTCTAGACAGATTCTAAGTTTACTGGAACTTGATTTGGTTAACTTAAGAATCATGCTTTGATGTTTACAAATGAATTGTAGAAAATTTCATAAGCTTTCCAGAATATCCTCTTGCAAGTCATTTGGATTTGTAGAACTCTGGTTGTGATTGGATTAAGGGACTATTTGTATGCATATGAAACTTTAATTGTTAAATTATGTATACCTTTACTATTCTAAGTTGTGGTAATGTTCCTAGGTGTTAGGGCTTTAACTGAAGATGAGCATCTTTATCTTAGGTTATGCAAGTTAGGTAAGTTGATCTTGTTCTTTAAGTTAAGTAGATACATGCTTAAAGTGATTTGAATAGAGCTAATTACTCGGTAAACGAGTGTCCAGTGATGCTTTCGTAAACACTCACTGTGATTCATTCATCATGAGCATCATGTCATTCCTTATGCATCCATGATATTTATCTTTTGCATCGGCATGCAATAGGTGTACCGAAGGAGTAACCTGCTGGAATTGAGGAACCGAAGCGAAAGCGAAAGCAGCAATGACGCCGGAGATTCGTGGAGGAGCACCTTGAGAGAAGTGCTTGACGAGGTCGCCGCTGAGTGCCCGACCACCGCCCTTGCAACTTTGTGAAAGGCAAGCCCCGAGCATATTAAGCCTCCTAATTTCAAATGCGATTCTGATGATTATTGTTACATATATATATTGTTGCATTAAGTTTAGGTGTTGGATGCAAACCATTCTTTGCATTGGTTACCCAATCCTTGTCCAGATATTGTTACCTCAATCCTATGTAGCTCAGTGCTCGAGTAGTGCTTAGCCACGCTTAAACGCTTAGTAGAAGTCGGGTGATTTCACACCTGCGAGATATAGGAAGATACATGTGGCACGTTAGCTATATTTGCTATCGTGGAAAAGAACCAGATCTTAATTTGAAATGAAGACCTGACGGAGGCTTGCTTTTGCTTTGCGATGACTCCGCTCAGTCGCTTAAGGACCGATTCTTGGAGCCTTTCCTGCTCATGTTGAACGCATGCCTCTCTCTTAGTTGGTCGTGTCCGATAACCGACCACGGCCCAGAGTAGCTCACCTCGGGCCGAGTCGATAAGTATAAAATGCGCCTCGGAAGGGAGCCGTGGGCGTGAGTCCAAGGCGGGTGATTTAAAAGTTCGATCGTCCCAGCGTAAGGGTAATCCCGAGAGTCTTTGGCGCAGATCGAACCCGCAATTTGGTTCCTGAGATGTACCAAAGGTAACCCACGGCTACCCTTGCTAAGTATGCTAGGGTGAGAGTTAGGAATACCCCCTCAGCTGAGTTGTAATTCGATTCGAATCGCCGTCTCTCCCGGTTAGTGAGAACTTGACGGGCTTATCTCCAATGTAGATACACTTAATAACTTAATGGTTCGGAAATGATGATATGATGATGACAGCCTTATTATACCTGCTATGGTTAATATTGTTTGCTCCTAATAAGTGAGTGCTCTAGTACAAAAAGCTAATCTAGTGGACGGTAAATAATGATAAGCTTGATAATAAGTTTAAATTGGTTACTATACTCATAAGCTCTTTTATGCAATTGTGTCAAGCTAGCCCACCTGAAAAGCCTTGCATGATCCTTGGTGTCTTTTATTTCGGTTTTGACAGGTAAGTCTAGTCGAGTACCTTCTCGTACTCGTGGTTTATCTCCCACCGCTGCGTGATGACCGGTTCTTCTTTTTAGTTGTTTGCAAACTTGCCTTCTCCCACCGTGGGGATGAAGACTAGGCCATTGGGCACGGTCTCTACTAGTTCTCGTACCTGATAATGCTTTTGTGGGACATGACTCTGATCTGGCAATGTATTTGAAACTATGAAGTTATGTACTAAACTATGTTGCTTCCGCGCATTTAAACTTGGTTTGTAATATTTTATTTGAACTCTGATGGATGTAATCCGAATGCTACTTATGAAATGTTGTAACGGATGATGTGTTGTGTTGAATCACTACGATCTTGGTTTGTATGTCGAGAGTTGGTTGAAATCCTTCGTGATTTCCAGACTACCGGGATTATGGGAGCTTAAGTACAGGAATTTGATCGCTTCGGTGATTGTTTTTGTACTTACGTTCTTATGATTTGGTCGGTTCTGTTACACTGTCGGGTATCGATATTAAGGATACCCAAAGCAAGGAAGTTAGCGCCCATGCTGACTTCCCCGGATGTCTTGAGACGTACTAAAAGGTCTTGCCCGACCCCAAGGCCACGGGTTCCGTCTTGCTTGACCTCGAGGCCGCGGGCTCCGTCTTGCCCGACCCCTTTGGGTGCGGGCTCCGTCTCGCCCGACCCCAAGGACGTGGTTTCCATCTCGCCCAAGGCCACGGGCTCCGTCTCGCCCGACCTCGAGGACGCGGGTTCCGTCTCGTTCGACGGGGACCCATACCGCCGCCAACCACTCTAGGTCCAAGCGTCTGGGCCTGGTTCAAAACTCTAACACCAGGGAAGAGGCTGTCACGCCTTGGTATAACCCATGGCTATGACGGGCCATACCTGGGGATTCACATCAAGAACAGTGTCGAGCGTGCCGGTGCTGTTCTGCCTAATCCTCGTACGAATGCTGACAGGCGCGTCGGTTCACCACGACGTCCGCCGGGACGGAGGGTAACGCCATGACCGGCAGATGACGCCTGCGCATAGAGCCATCCCTGTTGACATCTATAGGATCAACGGGATCCGCATGAAGGAGAAGGACCCATCACCCCTAGAAGCCTTCTTCTCTCTCTCGTTCTTCTCCTTTTCTCCTCTGTAACATGCGCTTTCCATTCGCCTATAAAAGAGAAAGCAGGGCACCCCATAAAAGGGGAGATCGGGACATAAGAGCACGACACGAGCACACGGTTGAGCGGCAAGTGAGCTCTCAGCACCGGTTCACTCCTTCCATTAGAGACTTGGGATCCTCTCCCTCTCTCGCCTGTTTGTAACCCCTACTACAAACCAAGTGCCGGTAACACGAGCAACGGCGAACTGGACGTAGGGACGTTCCGCCCGAACCAGTATAAACCTTTGTGTCCTTCGAGCACACCATCCGAGTCAGATGCGTAAATACAAATTTACTCGTCGGTGGTCCGAAAACATCGACAACTAGCTAGCGATTAGTGCGCTTGTGTATGTGAGTGTCTGCGTCTGTAACTGAGTCTTGCAAAAAAAAGAACCTAAATTTGTTTAGAATGTGATATTTGTTGGAGCTGCTACCAAGTGTTCTATTTCGATGCGCCCGTTCAGACTCTTTGTGGGTACCAAGTGCTTTGGCTCCAATCTTCTTCATGCACAGGGAATTGGAAGAGCAGGCCTCTAGAATCGGCGCTTGTCTGCAACACCTACTCGTGAGGGCGAATTAGGTTTTTAGGGAGCGCATTGTGCGACTACTCCTGCTCCTGTTCTTGGTGATATCCAATACTCCTTTGCCTTCTTCCCGACGAAGGCGATGGCCACAAGAGCGCGCACATTTCTTCTTCGCAACGAAGGCTACTGCATCTATTTTTCTGGTGACTATTCGACGAATTGCACAACGTACATCTTCCTGTATCTGACTATGGTCCACGATTTCGAGCAACTCGCTATGAGTGAGAATGATGTTGTCGATACCTCCGACACTGGTCTTATCTTTAGGTGTATTTCTGATCTTACCAATTTTATATTCAGTAATGTGTTAGTCATTAGTATGTTTATCATATTTATATGTGCGAATAGATCACACGTACACATATCTATTTTCTAGATTAATTTATTATGAATTTATGAAATATCTTACACATAGCTTCGTTGATTGGAACGATAACTGTGCTCCACCCTCTCCTTCTTATAGCTCAGTCGATTGAAATGACTTATGAGTAGATTTCATATACAAGTGTCTACTAGAATTGATTTAAGGTTTGGGTTGGAGATGCTCTAAGGGTTTACTCACACTTCAATTCTTGGTGGGCCTTTTGCTAGTTGGGCCGACGTCGTCGTTGTACCAGCCTCGTGAAGTCGTGACCCGCCTTCGTTCCGAAGCAACACCGAGCACGAGGGCATTCGATTACGACTTCCCCTCTTCTACGGCAGAGTCCTTCTGCTTCTGGCTTTTTTGCCCCCTTTCCCCCCTCTCCCCCCAAACCACACCGATCCAAATCCCGTATCCGGCGAACGCGCGCCGCCGCGGCCATGCGCAGTTGCTGACAGAGGAGCGAGCGCAACGACGCCACAGGCCATGGACGAGGGCTACGCCAACCTCCCCACCAGCCACCTCCTCGGCTCCGTCCCCGTACCGATGCAATCCCTGCTCGCTTCTCCGCGTCTCTCGTTTTGTTAGGGATTGTCGCTGATCTGGGGCGGTTTGTTTCTGCAGGCTGTGACACAGGACGACAGGAAACCCAGTCCCCCCGCCGCCCAAGGTTGTGACATGTTGTGAAACTGTGAATTGGTGTGGGCGCGTGTGTTGCGGTTTATTTTTCTGATTGTCACTAATTAATTTTCGGTTGCAGATGCAGCTGCCACCTCTCGGTTGCAGGAGTTCCCGCCTGCTCCTGGTGGTAATGGAGGAGGGTATCGGCCACCAGGTGGCCCTGCAGGTAATTAATGTTGATGCCAATTGTCACCACGTTCTGCAGTATTTTGTTTGAGTTTCGAATTGATCTAACTATGGATGCACAATTGCACACGGTACCTGATTGGTGAGTGCGGATAACTGGGTATATTATTGTGCAAGTCGGTTGTTATATGAGGTTACATTTGAACCTGAACCATGGGGACGCAAGCTCCACATGTTTTGGGTCATTGGGTCAACCCAAAACTTGCTAAAATGAACTAGAATTGCATGCCAGCTCATTAAATTTAGGAGGAGAAATGAATTAAGTTGGCTGACCCACAAAACACCGTTGGGGTACCCACTTGCGTCTTTATTGAACAATATCGAAATGCGAACTGTGGATTTAGGAGAATTTAAGAATAATATCCTGATGTTCTTAGCTTAGTAGAAACATTCTCTCTTTACGTCAGAAATTTTGAATGAATACATTGTATGTAGTGATAGGCGTGGCGAGCCAACGTTAAAACTAGCCATTCTAATGGAGATGAAACCAAAAAAAAAAAACCGTTGGGGCGTAACTCTCTTAGCGACGCGCCATATTGGAACCCGGGTATGGTGTTAAATAGGCAAGGGCCGGGTCGGCACCCCCCTTGGTGACGCGCCGTGTCGCGATTTGGGCATGGTGTCAAGTGAGTAAGGATTGGGTCGTCGCTTTCTTAATGGCGCGCTACATCGGCGCCCGGGTGTAGTGAAAAATGAGCAAGGGTCTTCACATCTGAGTTGACGGGTGCGAAGGGTAAGGAAGCTAGTCGAAACAATTAGGATCCGTTTAGGTAGTTGGAATGTAGGGTCGCTTACAGGTAAGTTAAGAGAATTAGTTGATACCGCGACTAGGAGGCGTGTAAATATATTATGCGTTCAAGAGACTAATCGGAAGGGCCAGAAGGCGAAGGAGGTGGACAATACAGGTTTCAAGCTTTGGTACACAGGGACAGTCACGAATAGAAATGGAGTAGGAGTTTTGATTGATAAGAGCCTCAAGAATGGTGTGGTGGGAGTGAGAAAGGCAAGGAGATAGGATTATCTTAGTCAAGCTTGTCGTTGGTGATATGGTCTTGAACGTAATTAGTGCGTATGCCCCCCAAGTAGGCCTCGACGAGAGTGCTAAGAGACAGTTCTGGGTAGACTTAGATGGCCTGGTTAGAGCTGTACCTAGTGGTGAGAAGCTTTTTATAGGAGGAGATCTTAATGGGCATGTAGGTACTATAGGCGCAGGTTTCGAGGCAGTTCATGGAGGTTTTGGGTATGGTGGTAGGAATCAGGAGGGGAGGAAGTTCTGGACTTCACGGTAGCTTTTGACCTGATGATAGCCAACGCTTTCTTTAGAAAGAGAGAATCTCATCTAGTGACCTTCAGTAGCAGACAACACTCTAGCCAGATTGACTTTGTCCTCGCAAGAAGAAGGGACAAACGAGCATGCTTGGGTTGCAAGGTGATACCAGGGGAGTATGTTGTTTCTCAACATAAGCTTTTGATGGCAGACTTTCGTTTTCAGGTGCGTGCCCATAGGGATTAACAAGCTAAGATTGAAAGAACAAAGTGGTGAAAACTGAAAGGGGAGACGTCAGAGGTATTCAGGGAAAATGTTATCAAAGAGGGCTCTTGGAAGGAAGAAGAGGACATAAACAACATGTGGGAGAAGATGGCAACCAACATTCGGAAGGTGGCATCAGAAGTGTGTGGAGTAACCAAAGGAAGTGGAGGCGAGGCTAAAGATACTTGGTGGTGGAACGAGGAAGTCCAAAGGGCTATTAAGGAGAAGAAAAAATGCTATAGACGCTTGTACTATGACAGAGTGTGGACAACATAGAGAAGTACAAGGTGGCAAAGAAGACTGCAAAGCGAGTTGTAAGTGTGGCAAAGGGTAGAGCGTACGAGGATCTTTATCAATATTTGAGTACGAAGGAAGGAGGGATGAACATTTATAGGATGACTAGGGTTCGTGAGAGAAAGACAAGGGATTTCAACCAAGTTAAGTGCATTAAGGATGAAAGGGAGCATCTCTTAGTGGAGGAGGATGAGATCCGACATCGATGGCAAGAGTATTTTAACAAATTGTTCAATGGTGAGAATATGGACACAACCTTTCAGTTTGATGACTCTTTTGATGACACTAATAGGCGCTTTGTGCGGAGAATCCAAGAATCTGAGATCAGAGGCGTTGAAAAGGATGAAAGGAGGTAAGGCGATGGGACCGGATGGTATCCCAATCGAGGTGTAGAGATGCCTTAGGAACATAGCTATAGTATGGCTAACCAAGCTGTTCAACCATATTTTTCGATCGAACAAGATGCCTGACGAGTGGAGAAGAAGTATATTGGTACCGATCTATAAGAATAAAGGGGATATTCAAAGTTGTACTAATTACCGGGGAATTAAGTTGATGAGCCATACTTATGAAGCTATGGGAGAGAGTTATCGAGCATCGCTTGAGAGCAATAACGTGGGTCTCTATGAACCAATTTGGTTTCATGCTCGGAAGGTCAACCATGGAAGTCATTTTCTTAATAAGACAAGTTATGGAGCGGTATAGGGAGAAGAAGAAGGACCTACACATGGTTTTTATTGACTTGGAGAAGGCTTATGATAAAATACCAAGAAATGTTATGTGGTGGGCTTTGGACAAACATAAAGTCCCAACGAAGTACGTCGGGTTCATTAAGGACATGTACAACAATGTTGTGATTAGTGTTCGAACAAGTGATGGAGACACGAATGACTTCCCGATTAGGATAGACTACATCAAGGGTCAGCTTTGAGCCCTTATCTATTTGCCTTAGTGATGGATGAGGTCACAAGGGACATACAAGGGGAGATCCCTTGGTGTATGCTTTTCGCGGATGATGTAGTGCTAGATGATGAAAGCCGGACAGGAGTGAATTAGAAACTGGAGTTATGGCGGGAGACTTTGGAGTCCAAAGATTTTAGATTCAGTAGAACTAAAACTGAGTATACAAGATGTGACTTCGGCACTACTACTCGGGAGGAGGAATATATTAGTTTGGAAGGTCAAGTAGTGCCTAGGAAGGATACCTTTCGATATTTAGGATCAATGCTACAGAGAGACGGGGATATTGATGAAGATGTTAGCCATAGAATCAAAGCAGGATGGATGAAGTGGCGCCAAGCATCTGGTGTCTTATGTGACAAAAGGGTACCACAGAAGCTAAAAGGCAAGTTTTATAGGATGACGATTAGACCTGCTATGTTGTATGGTGCAAAATGTTGGCCTACGAAAAGACGACATGTTCAACATATAAGTGTCGCAAAAATACGTATGTTGCGTTGGATTTGCGGTCATATAAGAAGGGATCGAGTTTGGAACGATGATATACATGACCGGTTAGGGGTAGCACCAATTGAAGAAAAGCTTGTCCAACATCGGTTGAGATGGTTTGGACATGTCCAACGGAGACCTCCAGAGGTACCGGTGCATAGTGGAATCCTAAGCCAGGATAGTAACGTGAAGAGAGGCAGAGGAAGACCGAAGTTGACTTGGGTAGAGGCAATAAAAAGAGACTTGAAATGATGGAATATACCTAAAGACTTAGCCTTAGATAGAAGTGCTTGGAAAACAGCTATTGACGTGCCTGAACCTTGATTGCTTCTGCTGGGTTTCAACTCTAGCCTACCCCAACTTGTTTGGGACTTAAAGGCTTTGTTGTTGTTGTCGTACATTGTATGTAGTGTAGGTAAATGGCCTCTTAAATGTGGCAACATCAGTCCTGTACTGCTTTATTTTCGGGGCATGCTAAAGGATACTGTTGTAGAAGCCGCATAATTAGAAACTTGTGATGTGATTTTTATCTTGTAGATGGTTGATAATTGAGAACAACCTTTACTTGAACTTTTGAATAAGTCACTAAGTATCGTGACTTGCATGAAGTGACAATTATGTTGCACTTTTGATGAACCATGCCTCCCATTAATCATTTGTGTTAAATTCCTATACATTTTATTTTTCAGAAGTCTGTAACATGTAACCATGATGGTCTAATATTCTAACCATCTCAACTAGAAGCAAGGCACCAGAGAGTCATTTTATTGTTTCTTTCACTGCTTTGAATTTTGATCCTTGGCACTGTTCTATTTTGATGAGTATAAATGAATGGATTTTTGCTTAATGTCAGCTATTGAATAGAATTCTGGTTTTGTTTTTGTATGTGCATTGCTCCATATTGAAGTCTCTTTACTTTTTCAGATGGAGATGTAGAAAACCAAGCAGATTGGAAAGGATACTTCAATGTTGCATCTTATGCTCCATACTTCAATGTTGATACTGATGTTGTAGTTGACAGGCTCATCAGTTCAATTTATCCAATGGATGGGTTTTATAGGAAAATTGATGCTAATCCTGACATGTAAGTTTCTCCTAATGGACAAGATCTGCCGTCTGAATCATTTTCTAAAACAAAACCTGGCTCTTAGTTACCTTTCTGTTGTTTTGATGTCAACATTTCTAGTGAATAGTCTAATATGCAATCATGTGATAAAAATGTGCATTAAATGATATTTTCATTATAACTAAGCATCGTTATAATATGGAAAGATATGTCGTAAGTTGTATAAGATGCATATTATGAATCTGTTTCAACACTTCACTGTTTATTTACTGATAATTGCACGAGATGATGATTCAGATAGGATAGTTGCAGAGTTCTTACAAGAGTATATGAAAATATAGTGCCTGAGTGGCATTATACAGATTGTAGTGTTTATTTTCTGCAGCATAGTTTTGGGAGAACTGGACAACACAGTGTTTTGAACGGATTTTGATCCAATTTTTTGCATAGTTAAGGTGCTTGCTGGATTACCGTCTGACTAAATCTTGTCGCAAATTTTAGTTTCTTTTTTTCTTCATTGATCATTTGGATCTCTTGCCTCCTCCACATTCTCTTGTGTTATGAATTATTCTAATTTCTGCAGGTATGGGCCTTTATGGATCACCACTACTCTGGTTTTCATGCTAGCTGCGTTTGGTAACTATGCCACTTATCTGATGCAAAATAAAAAGGATCTGGACATATGGAACTTTGATGTTGGTTATTTCAGTTGGGCAGCATCAGTCATGTATGGTTATGCTGTCATTGTGCCCGCCGTGTTCTTTTTCCTGTTTCAGTATTTTGGATCACGCCAAAGTCTTGTTCGATTTTGGTGTATGTGGGGCTATTCTCTGTTTGTCTTCATACCTGCATCTGTAAGTATTCGAGTTCCATCCGTTCGTTTCGTTATTTATATCACTGGCAAGAATATGCGGACATTCAATTTTAACATTATGTACATCCATAGGAATCTTCAGTTCTCTATCTTGCAATTATATATAATGGTTCTAAAAATTGATTCTCTTAGTGTAAATAATCCATGTTGTTATCATGGTTGTGACCACTTGGAACTCACTTTTGTTCTTCGGGATGAAGGGTGCCATTATGTTAACATGAATTGACCTCCTATTTTGTCTGGTTAAGGTACTTTTGCTTATTCCTGTGGAATTTCTTCGATGGGTCATCATAGCTCTTGCTGGTGGTGCATCATCTTGGTTCATCGCTTTAAATTTGAAGGAATGCACTGAAGGAGCTGATCTGATGGTTCTGATGGCTAGTGCATCAGTGCTGCAATTTGCTCTGGCACTGTTCATCAAAGTTTTCTTTTTTGCCTGAGGTTTGCTTGTTGATTTTGCAAAGGTCTGCCTCTTTCTTACACCCCAGTACCCGCCTTCCCTGGCATTGCTTAATTGAGGCTTTGGATTCTGAAAAAAAAATACTGTTTTTGGCAGGTGACCTGATGCGCTCTTTGTCCACGGCTTGTTCTGGAAAACATCTTTTGAAAGGGCAAAGGCAGACATACCTGTTTTACTCGACAACTTGACATACATATTGACCCTAGATTGTTGTGCCTTGGGCATTCTTCATTTGAAGTGGCTAATTTGCAAGTTCTTCTCTATCTAGGTAGTGAACAGAATTTTACAGCGTGCCGTACAGAGTTTACTGAGTTCGGCACCAAAAAGTCTTCCCACGTTGTTCAGTGAAAACGCACCGTCCTGCACTTTGATTTGCATACAATCCTTTCTTGGGTAGCATTATTCTCATGATCTCGTGTGTATTTGTGTGCTAGTACATCTCTTCCGGTTTTCTAACGTCCAACTGGCAACATGATTTAGCATAACTAGTTACAACGTTGGATGCTAACCGTGCACAGAGCTGAGAAACTGGGGTGGGGTTTCTACTTTCTAGCCTGAAAGTATAGTTGAAGCAAAAAAAAATCACCCAAATGCACAATCGGGATCGGCAGCGGTAGAATTCACAAAAGTTGAAAAATCTTCCATTAAGGCAGAGGAGAGATAACACGTACCAAACATTGGAGTGCGGAGGTGCAAAAGGCTTAGCAAGCACCCTCTGCACTAATGTCGTCCACCAGGCTTCGGTTCGGTGGGGCAAGATACGACACTGGCGGCGGTCGAGGCGAGCATCTACCTACCGGGGTTCCGATTCCACCCGACTAAAACGTTAACGACGGAACGAGGAAGGCGGGGCTTCTGCCAGACACTCCGCGTCGGATCTCCATCTCCGCGTCAGTTCATACAGACTCGATATTGCAGGCACCAACACAGAATAATATGCCTACAAGAGTTTGCATTTTTCAGGTATATATATATACTCTGGAGTAGTATGGACTGGAGCTCTGGGTCTCACCAGCAAGATGTTAATTACTCGTATTCCTTGCAAGTTGAATGTGCTGTATTGCGGTATTGCCAACAAATATCATTAGATTTTGAAAACACTATCACTGTACTTATAACCTTTCCAGTACTCATACTAGGATGTGTGAATAACAATTTTCACAAGGCTTGGACCTCAACAAATGACATTGATGAAATATTTGGAATTCAAGGAAGACACCTTGTAACAGTACAAAGACACAATCTTGTTAATAAAAACCATAAGCGAAGAAGCACAGGACACCAACATTCACATACACGACCATAAATGGTGCATTTATAGCAGTGTACCTCCTCATCTCAGACAACACAATAACACTTTTTTTTTCCACGGTCGTACCCTGTCACGTTTTTCATTAAGCAAAAGTAGAGTTTGTTACACCCTAAGCTGGCCACGGTAATCCACTGATTACCGAGACTAGCGACCGAAGCAACACACGTGGTTGTGATTTACACAGTAGCATTGAAAGGGGGCCTCAAGAATTGATGCAAGGAAACTTGTCCAAAACTGTGTAAAAATAAAGAACCTCTGTTGCACTTCATTTACTTTTAATCAAACCCTTAAGTTTTCTCAGCCAAGCGAGATACTCATGGCACTCTTTATTTATCATGTACGCATGCAAGAAGTTGGTAACATCTGACGAAATGGCTCTACTTTTCAAGTATGCATAACATGCTTGCTGAAGTTCCTCAGGAAGATTACTGCAGAAGAATGTAAGGCCATGATCAGTAAAACCGCAACATGAGAGAACATCACAGCACTATTATACAGGTGCCAATGCTCACCATATCTTAGCTTCAACATTTGATGAATCAAAAGACTCATCCGTCGGTCCAAATGCCAAGCTCTCAATGGCAAGTTCATCAGGGTAAGATCTACAGCTGATCTCCAGCCACGAAGCCATCCCTTTGTGAATTTTCACCACCAGTGGGATATAGTACTGATTTGCAGGACCATTAATAGCATGAGCCTGGCTGTTGTCATCTTTGGTATCGTGCTTTTGCTGACCATTGTGCTCCAATGGATCGGCAGGGCTCGGCAAGAACACCTCCACTTCAATTTGCTCCTTCTGATCTCTCCTGGTGAGAATTATCCTAGTGGTACCCTCCTTATCCTGGATCTCAAAAGGGAACCACTCCCCTAATTCCTTCGCCTGAAAGAACACAAATCAAATATTACATCCCCAGATCAAAAAGATGATATCTTCCTGTAACCCCATGTTATCAACACTAAAAAATTACTAAATCCTCTCTGAAACAGCTCGCCATATGCAACCCCATAATCATCAACTGTAAAGGAGAGAACAAGCCCACCATGGATACATTTTCTATAAAAACTATGTCTCTCGCATCTTCAAAATACAGAAAATTTCCCGCTAAGACACTAAGGGCTCGTTCGGTTGGGGCATTAGGACGCCAGGAATTAATCCGGCCAATGAATTGAGTAAAGATACCGGCCTGGAATTCTTCCTGGGCTCATTCCCGGTCAAACGAACGGGGCCTAAATGTCAGGAAGGAGCATCCAAAACGAAAGGACAATAAAGAGATAGCAGGGTCGCATACCCAGTCGCGCTTCTTGCAGTCTTGCTGGGCGCAGGAGATCTCATAGTTTATGACCCGGAGGAGGTGGGCGTCGGCAGCGGCGCCCGGCTGCGGGGCTGAGGGAGGAGAGAACTGCGGAGCGCTCAGCGCTCAGCGCGGTACGGGAGCCGGCGATGGGGAGGAGGGACCCGCGAGCCACTCATGGCCCCAAGAAGACCGCGCGCCGCCGCCGCCGCCGCCGCCGTCGGGGAGCGCGGCGGAGGGCGGCGGAGGTGGCCATCGCCGATTCGCCGGGGGTTTTGCGAGGGTTCCTCCCTTTTTCCGGTTTTCCCAGATCTCTCTCATCCAGCCCACGTCTACTCGAATTCTCGGCCGTTGGATTTTTTCCTGGGGTTTCACGAGCCGTTAGACTAGAGGCTGCTCTAGACCCCTCCGTGGCCCCTCGCACCGGACCCTCCGCCGCCGCCGTTTCTCCTCTCGCTCCCCTCCGTCCGCCTCACACTGCACCGCCGCCTCCCACGTCGTCCGCGTCTTTCTCCGCCCGCCGCGCCCCCAATGCATCCCTCCACAGACCGCCAGGGTGCTCCGACCGCCGAGACTGGAGGGCATCTCAGACGCACTGCCCTACCTCATTATCCGCATCATGGACATGCTCCACCACCACTTCCTGCCCATCTAGCATCTCCCTTGCTACTGGGCAGCGTGAGGACGCCTGGATGGCTGGCGGCGCAACCGCGCAAGTCCGCGGGGCTGCGGCGTAGCGACGCGGGAGCCGCGCGGACGGGTGGCGGCGTGGGGGCGCGCGACGGCGCGCGGGGCTGCGACTGGCTGTGGCGCTGCAGAGCATGGACCACGCGGACGCGCGGGCTGCGGCGGCGCGGGGCCGTCCGACGATGACCACGACAACGCCCGCCTCGCCTTCCTCTTCTGCAACTACGACGTCTGCCTTAGCTCCTACCACCTACGCGACCATCAACCGTGTGCTCATCAATCATCACCAGGGATCCAAGAGACCACGGCGTCCACTGCTTCCTCTAGCACAGCCCCATCACTCTCCATCTCACTCACTCACAGCAGCGGAACGAAATCTCTTGCCCACAGTAATGGATATCATGAGCCAAGCTTTCTCAACCAATGCGGTAGATTTCTGTTTTAATTTGTGCTACCACACTGTACTTCTACGGCACCGTCATTGTCACCGTTGCCTGTGAGAAACCAACCATGGCGCAAACTCTAATTAGTTAAGTTCAGTTTTCCTCTTACAAATCCTCTGATTTATACACTAATGTTAAATTGTAATGGAATCCCGATGTGCCGCGGCATATTGTGTACATATTTCTTTACCTTCTTCCTCCTGTCTTATGCTCATATACTGTTTCAATAATTTACATTTCAGATTGATTTAGCAACCATAATTCAGGGTTATATCTATGCACAGCTCTCTATTCAGCACGTCATGTTTTTACTAGATAGTAATTATGCATTTTTATGTGTATTAAGAGAATTGGTACTAATGCACTTATTGCATTTCAGAATGAGTACAGAACTAAATTATTCATATTTGCTTTGGCTGTCAGGAATTATCTGTTGATTCCAGATTGTATTCGTATCATGAGACCACATCTGAGTATAAATAAATGGGCGTGCAATGCTTTCTGAATGTTTATGCCTAGCACCTGCAAGGCAAGGAGCACTGTTTTTTGGTCCAATCACATGACATGGCATTGTGTGTTTACTTGGTCAGATTTCTTAAGGAGGGTTTGAAGGTTACTTCACGGCTAAATAGATTTGCAGGGCTCTTGATCTTTTTAGTGTTACATCATTGTGTTTTTTTTTGATAAATCAATGTAATTATTATCACAAGTTAATGTCTCGATGCTCATAAAAATCTTAGAATCATTCATTCTGCAACCTTGTGAAACAATGCTTCCATGAACTTCCTAACAGGAGCAATACCATCTTTGGTTCACTCGTCAATTTCAATTAGTCATCGTGAGTTATCTTTCCCATGAATGGTTCAAACATGAAAAAGAAGTTTACCTGTAGGAGACTTCGATGACAATCACTGTATAATATAGCTGTATAATATAGGCAGGGGAAAATAATGTTATTTTTACTAGAGTCCATGTTGTGTAGTGTGCAACCATTGTGTTTGTTAATCACAGTGTAAACTAAATATCACATCTTGCAGTTCGAATGTTCAATTCTATTTTTATTCTATTATACAATCTCAAACTCTGAACTTATGTTTCTGAAACTTTGCATGATAATAGACATGCAACATCTCAGTATCAGAAAGTACACAATATATGTCCAAAAGTATTTAAAGATGCAGTGGTTTCAAAATCATCTATATTGAGTCTCCAGGAAGCCTACATGCACGCAACTGGGGCAAAAGAAGTAACGGAGAACCATAGAGCCTGTCGATGACTCGATGTATCTAGGGCCATTGGATGTTTATATCTTCTATAACGGATATATCTTCTAAATTAGGCACTTAACAAGTACATTAACTAAAAAGCACTAGCCTGAATCCCGGCTCAAGTGATCGGGCTAGGAAGCATTGACACATAAGTGTAGCCATAACGTGGTCAATGACACTGTACATGGCTGACAAGTGACAACAGAAGCTGTAGACAACAATATGTTCATGTAAGTGTACATCTCAAAATGAAGTATGAAAGCGACTGATATGTTCATTCTGCAAAGACCGAATAGAATGTACATTTTTGTTGGAAACTATGCAGATTAATAATCTTTTAGACCTATTCTATGCAGGCATGGTACCGGATACAATCTTATATTGACCTATAAGGCTGGCCTGAAATTTACATTTCTTTGTAAATCAAGAACATGACAATACAATAATTAGGTGACACTACGGTTGGATTTGGCTCATTTTCATTTTGTGTTGAATGGATTAATCTTGGATTGGAAAGAAAAAATATATATCTATATCTAAATTCAGCCTCCTGGTTTTAGTTCACCTTGAAGCTCTCTTCTAAATTCAACCAACACACTGAGAAAAGTATAGATGCAATATATATGGAAACTTAAATCTATAAATAAATAAGATGAGCCCAAAACATCAGTTGTCTACATAGGAGCATGTTAAACCTGTGCTTCATATTTTCAAATAGCAAATAAATGTCATCTTCACAATTGGAAACAGCAAAGCACAGATGACCACATTCTGTTATGAGGGAACAAACGCATAAGACACCAAAATGTGTTCATGTGAAGCGGTCATAGCAGGGTGAAGTTTAGTATACAGTCAGCGTGCGTAAGGCAAGAAAAGAAATGGTAACAACAGCATGGCTACAAAGCAAGTACATTAGCAAAAGGAACCCTGTATTATGCTGTGCACAGCATACATATGTCCAGTAATCTTACAGGCTTACAGGATGCACCCAGTTTGTTATAGTGTTCAACAGGAAAATGATGGCTAACCTCGCAGCCTGAAACCTGGATGCAAAATACGAAGATAGTTACCGTCAGTATGGAGTTCACATAACTTTAGTTGGCATAGATTATGAAGTGAAATCAAAACTTGACAGACCGATAATGTAAGAGAAAGGAGATTGATCGGTTTAAATATGGGCAGAAAGAGTATTTGTATGAATATTTTTAGGTAGGCATCCGTACAATGGATAAGCGAATTGGAAGTTGTGATTGTTCATCTGAGAAAGAGATGATTCTGTGGGTTTAGAAGCACACAGAAAGTAAAGCATGTGAATACATATATGTTCTTTAGAACAATTAGGTAGTCATTTGTACAATGGATAAGTGAATTGGGATCTGTGGTTGTTCATTTCAGGAAGAGATGATTCTGTTGGTTTAGAAGGAAACATAAAGTAAAGCATGTGAATATATATATATATATATATATATATATATATATATATATATATATATATATATATATATATATATATATATATATATATATATATATATATATATATATATATATATTCTTGAGAAGAATCGGACGACAATTATTATTCTGAGATAAAAGTTCTAAATTGAAGCAGCCATATAATATGTTGAAAGAGATAGTCTGATTGTAACCTACGGCTATGTATGCAATATTACCTGAAATTAGTTGGCTTGCTCTATGTCATGGAAAATGGCTTTATAGACCACATTATATGTTTTGTTTTCATACCCGGGTGTGGTATTTTCAATGAGCACGCATAACCCTGTAGGCGATATTACACGTGAGAGTGCAACATAAAGTTGTCCATGTGAGAACACGGGACTTGGTAAGTACACTCTAACTTTGTTCAATGTCTGTCCTTGGCTTTTGTTTATCGTCATAGCATAGGACACACGGACCGGAAATTGACGACGCTTTATTTTGAAAGGCCATTTTGGATTAGTCGAAGCACATACTATTCTTGGAATGTATGCTTTAGATCCTTTAGCCTTGCCTGTGATTATTTCGGCCTCAATTATACGATGAGTTGGTGACTATTAGTCTGGTTCCATTGCACAGACCCCTTGGTGGGTCTAGATTTCTCAGTAGCATTACAGGGACTCCAATTTTCAGTTGCAAACGGTGATCAGGTAGGCCACTCATTTGAATAGTGTTGAGGAACTCTTGAGGATAGAGGGATTCTAGAGTGCAGTAGTTAGATGTGGCATCATTAATGGAATCAGAGCTGTAGTATGACATCTCCTCGGTAGCTATCTGATCAATAATTTCTCTATTTATGGTGGTAGCCACCTCATTTGTTGGGGCCAATATTGCCCGTTCACATAGGTAGCCTGCTAATTCAGGGGCGTGTGCAATTGTCCCATATACAAAAGAGACAGCCTCCAAGGTTTCTTTCATCCGGGGGCAACTGTAGGTTGTCTGGAATTTGAACCCACGATGTATCGGGGTTTTCTGCAGGTGTGCTGCCAGGTACTGTGCCGTTGCCGATGTAGAGGAGCCATTGTGCAAACTTGTCTAATTCAACTTTTTCAAAATCAGAAAGAGTTGGACATGCAAGTCTCATTTTTCTGTCAATTGAAGGACCTTGCATTGCCGCCATAAATAGGATCAGGTGATGGATGCATTTAGCACCTGATGTTTCCTTCCATGTGGGATAACTGGTAGAGTTTGTCTGAAGTCACCACCAAGTACAACTGTTATGCCACCAAACTGTTTGTGCGCTGAATCATTGGTATTGGATGCATAGTTTTAAATCTCCCGCTATAGCTGCCGCTATAGCCCGCTATAGTGCGATCAAGGGCTTATATCCGCTAAGCAATGTCTGTGGTGAGAGATACCGCTTCGTAACTCGCTATATATGATCAATGGTATGTTGTATTAGTTCAGCCAGCTTTGTATTTTTCTTGCTTGAACACATGGAATGTTCATGGATGTCCAACAGCTTTGCATTTTTCTGAAACGCACATGGAATGTTCATGGATGTCCAAAGGCATTCTGAAACGCGAGTGGGGTGTTCGACCTCCTGGGAGTAGTAGAGCTGCTATGCCAGAAGATGCAACCGCCAAGGCTATTTTCCCTTTGCTTCTAATACCATTAAGCAAAGTATTCCAGAGAAAAGTCTTGCCGGTTCCCCCATATCCATAAACAAAGAAGGTATGGCCACAACCATTTAAGGCTGAATGTTCTATGATGTTGTAAATATGTCTCTGGCCTGTGTTGAGTTGGCTGATCTGCTGAGCTAAGTCCAATCTTGTACCATCAGAAGCATAAGAAAGCTCTTCCATTATAAATCTGTTGGTAAGAACTGGGCAACAATCATGTTCTGGTTGTGGTAGTTGATAGCGATCTAGGCTATATCTAGCATCCTTGAGCAATTTATCTAATTCGTGCAGGACATAGGATCTGAC